CTGTAATACCCTCTTGTGATTTTTTAAAAAGCTTTTACTTGACTTGAAAAAGTCGTTGCATCAGATAGTCAGGGACATTGAATGTCATCACACTGAATAAGTAAACTCACGTATACTCAGTCAATTTAACAGCCTCATCATGCTCTTGCAAACGATTCTATCTCAAAATTTAGGGACAAAAGTTGGATAAATAAAGACTGAACGAGTCGTAAGCTTAATGGTGGTGACTTTGAAGTCATGTGACCATGGTGTAGTTTGTTTATAGCCTACATTTAGCTTTTTACTTTCGGCGATTGTATTTACAGAAGGCTAGAAAATTCAGTTGAGTGTGAAGATTATCATGATAAAGTGTGTAAGAATCATAAACTTTTATTGGTCACAGAGCTAATTTTCTGCAACGATCCAAAAGCCAATGGAAAAATATACTGGGTTTTTGTTGAGGGAACCAGAGTGAAGTTCCTACAATTACACACTGCAGCACCCTATGTTACACACTTTAGTTGTTACAATATTGGCCCTGTTTACAATCTGTCTAAGGTTATCCACATCTTCCTCCGACCACTTACAATTGGATTAAAACCTTGTTTAGTGTAGTTCATTCCTTTAGATCCCCCCCCTGTGTTTCTGACCTCTGAATGTGGTTTGTGTGATCCAATCACAAAGAGATTTGACCTCGCTTACACTACATTTGGTGCTGGCCTCATGTGATTTGATCAGCCAAGACAGATATTAATACCAGTTATAAACGTGATCATGCTAGTGTTTTGATTTAGGGGAAAAACGATATTTGGGGGGGGGGGATGTGTAGGTAAAAGTTTACCGAGAAAAGTCACTACTTTTTTTATATAATGTATATAGTAAATTTATTTTTGTAGCAATGTGTTACATGTAAACAGACAACAATATCAGAAATATTTATGGAATACACATGTTTTCCTGACATATTTTGATAATGGTAGATACATAAATGTAGATACATATTTTATTTTGGGTTGTATGCAAGTAATATGTAATAAAACAAAAGTTAATTATATGACATTTATTATCTTTTTCAAAGAAAGCTCAGGTAGCACTGTGTTCCCCTTCATGTTCTTTGACCACATAAAAACGAAATTCTATTGTAAATAAAAATTATCGTTGATCTGTCAAAATCTTTTTTATCATATATGTTGTATGCTGCGATTATGTTTTAGGATTTTCGCCCACAAGACAAGCAGTGCTGCATCTGTTCTGCATCCCACATCTCTTTCAATGAAAATTAACTGCTAACTTGTGGATGTCATTTACCACAGCCTTGACAATGTACATTTGCAAAATGAACATACGCATGACCTATAATTTAAGTCGATAGAGAGCAGACCTTTTTGTCTTACTAGCATTTTAATGCATAATATTTGATTACTATGCAGGTTAAAAAAAATCATCCCTTCATCGAGCATTACCACGGCATATGAAGCGGCACACTTAACTGATTGGCTGAGTGGCAGCAAGGTCAAAGTTCAGACAGGATCTCCTATGTTCCCCAGGGTGATATCGCAATGCATGATACACCAAGTGTGACAGCTCGATTTAAATAACCGTACATTACCATATTGACAGTGCTGAGAGAGTGCTTGCCTGTTCTCAACACTGTGACTGTTCACTGATGTGCCTGTGTGTTCAAATAAATCAGTGGTATTTGAATCCAGCACAAATTTTAGTTGAATTTTTAACACCCAGATGTGGCTTTTTGAGGAAAGGTGTGCCATTAGTATTCTAAGAATTCAGGGCCTGTATTCACAAAACATCTTAAGGCTAAAAGTAGCTCATAACTCGCCGATTTAAGAGAATATCTTAAAAATAATGGGCGTGTCAGACAGGACTCCTAAATTTTTGTTCTAAGAGTATTTCAAAGCGTTTTAGCGCTAAAATGAGCTCCTAAATCTGTGAAACGCTAGGAGTAGTGAAGAGGACTCCTAAGTCTCTAAGACCAAATCTGAACTATCCTAAAATGGCTGTTGCCAGCAATCTACCTCGGAATATAAACATTTTAGAAACATTTGACAATAATGAACTTTTAAAAAGGTATCGGCTTTGGTTTGGAGGTTATCCCAACTCCA